AATTAAAGAGAATGAATTAGTCTTGTCTAAAAAGAAACTTAAAATATTTCAATCTAAAGTAAGATTTTTTTATTTTAATATTTCCCAAGATATGTATACCTCTATTAGTAGGTCTTTGGAATTTATTAATAAATTTTCAGACGAATTAAATGATAAAACTCAATTGCAAAGATTCTTAGGTTGTACAAATTATGTGGCTGACTTCATACCAAACTTAATAACTATTTGTTACCATTATTCAAGAGACTTAGGAAGAATCCTCCTTCTTGGGATGATTCAATTGTTAGACAATGGCGTAGATCTAGAAGGGGGGGGGGAGGATTGAATAGATTGCTTGTTTAAAATAGAGTCGACGCTACCAAAATTGGTTTTTAAAAATGTTTAAGGCGGAAGCGGCCAAGGAACTATACTCATCTAAAACGAACAGTTACTAAAAAAATGGATGTGCGTAAAGCCTATAGAATTCGATAAACGAGATTTGAGAATCACTACATTAATCACACTTCAATCAAATTTTATTCACTATAAGGTGTGACTAGTTCCAATGCCTTTAAAACATAAACAGTTTGAAAAGACAACACAATTGTTTTTAGTTCACACAATTGATCAAACACTTAGAGTGCAAGGCACTACAAGTGAATTCTATTTTGAGAGTAGAGTGCTCAAGTTTTCTATTACAATCAATGATTGTAATTAGCTTAAAAATAGTTCCGCACAACTCAAATCAGAATTTGATTGACACAATCATTTGCACTAAAAACTCATAATTTTAGCAATATAAACGTAAAGAAAAAGACACAACAATTTGTTGAGACAGTTCCCCAGTCGTCCTCGCTCGGGGTACGTCTGCACTCAATTCTAATAATAGAGTTGAAACCTGTATATAGATAGATATAACCTGTTGGTCAATGTTTATACAAGAAGCAAATAGAGATCAAACAATCGAACACATATTGTTGTTGTACAACCTATTTCTTCTTTCCCCTTGACACAAGTTGAATAAAGTCCTTCGAACACGGTGAGTAAACCTCCGACTACAACACTCTCTTTGAACAACCCGCTGTCTTAAAATCTGGCCCAGCTGATTTCAGTCACCCACGTGTCGAACCCGAATCTTCCACTCACAATCCTCTGTTTACCGCTACTAAACCGATAGAACCTCCCGCTATTCGATTACCTTCGCTCGGCTGAATCTGTGATGGGCCGATTCGTACAAAAACCCCCAAAATCCGAGATTCTTGGAGGACAAAACCCTAACGGTTTTATTCAAGAAAAATCTGCCGATTACTCAATCCAAACCAGATTACACCAATCCTAGGCTTTAGACGTTATCACCTCGAACATGCACAATGCACAACAAAACTAATTATGTGTAGTTGTTGTGAAATGCTATGAAGAGGATAAAGATGATGAGAACAAATCGATACGTAAATTTCACTTTTCTTGTTTTCTTAGTTGATGTAAAAGGAATAACCCAACTCAACTTATATACAAGACATAACTCATTTAACAAACATAACAGACTCCCAAAACTGTTTTACATAACATAATTTTGACTTAACACATTGAGCGGTCGACCTATGCAGTAAGGGGGTCGACCTGAGCTTACCCATGTACATAATTGTGCAAAAAACAGGACCACGCGTCGACTGGAGCATGTCATACGTCGACGCACAACATGCAAATTTAGACAAATACAAATGGTTACAGTATGAGTCGACAGGAGGGTCGACGCGAGCCCTCCCGAGAGTAGTTCATTGAAATGACTAGCTGTATGAGTCGACCGGAGCTAGCCTTGAGTCGACTCAAAGCCCTGAAGTAGGAAAAAAATGCCTATTTTCATGCATTAAGACACTTTTGATGAACCCTATAGTATGGCAAGCATGACTAACTCGGCCAACCCTACATGAAACATAGATTTGGCCATCTATATATGCAATAATCATATTTTTGACGAGTGTTTGACTTATGAGAGACAAGACATTCAAATATGACATGGTGACAACGTCCACCATACGTTTTTCTATGGAGCTGAGTTTTGACATCATCGAAACGAGTGTATCTATCTATGAGGCTTTGCCCTCACATCAATGACCAAAAGTGTTTTACAATTAAAGAAAATAGTTTTAAAAAAATTACACTGTTTAGGAATACCTGATCCAAGAGCCAACCTTATTTTTAAAACTGATGCCTCAGATACAGGCTTTAGAGGAGTTCTAAAACCAATACTTCTGGGCATGGAAAAGGAACAAGTTGTCCGATATTGTTTTGGAACTTGGAACCCGACTCAATTAAACTATAGTACTATTAAAAAAGAAATTGTATCTATTATTTTGTGTATTACAAAATTTCAAGATGACTTATTTTCAAAAAATATTTTTTTTATTAAAAACAAATTTCAAAGCTTCACAAAGTGTTTTATAAAAAGATGTTAAAAACTTAGTTTCAAAACATATATTTGCTAAATGGAAAACATTACTTTCTTGTTTTGATTTTGAAATCGAGCATTTTCAAGGAATTAAAATTTCATTACTAGATTTTCTAACCAAAGAATTTTTACAGAAAAAACACGAATAAAAAATTAGTTGACCTCAGAGATGATTATGGTCCTCCCATTAAAGATAAAAAACGATAAGAAAATAAATTTAGGTTCTCCATCTTTTATTTTCGAAGTTATCTCTCCTATTACTGCTACTCCCTTAACAACTATTAAACCTACATTATTAATTCCATTAGATTTTACCTCTCAAATAACAAGTCCATTATCTATCCAGAAAGCTCACCCCTCTAAATTAGCCTATTATACACCTACTTCTTCCTTACCAATATCGACCTTTATTACCAAATATTTACCTATACCAATATTACCTTTAGAAATACTTTACTGTCCTCCAAACTCTTCGTTATTACAAAATATTTCAAGAATCCCCCTTCCCTAGGATTTTTCTTCATTCCTAAAGACCAAACTAAGACCTAAAAATTCTACAAGTTTATCCTGGTAGATTCTGAGTCTATTACTCTTACCCACCAGACAGATCAGAATGATAAATCTAAAATTAAGTTCTCTAAATTCAAAATTAATAAGGTATTATCTCTTTCTGATTAGAAACAACATCCATCAGAATTAAAATATTTTTCTAGAATCTTCACTCCACAATACTATTCTTACTTTGATTACATGGACGCTTGGTTTAATTTTTTGTCTGTTGAAACTTTCAGCCACACTTGCTTTATATGGTTCAACAAGGATATTTCACTTAGCTTCCCTAACTGGTTTATCCAGTGGTTGATAATTATGGGGCCAATTTTAGAAATATTTCCTGATTATGCCTCAAAGGCATTTAATAATTTTACAGAAAAAAAACTACTTGTCCAAATTACAAGTCTTTATTATGTTTCTGTGCTATTTATGGAATTACGTGGATTTCATCCTAGACCTTTTTAACTGAACCATCACGGGAAGGGTCATCTTCTACTCAATTACTCAAGAAATTTTCTATTAAATGGTGGTCAAAGTTTGATCCAGGTTTTCTTTCTCGGTCAAGATAGATTCTTGGTTCAAGTCATATCCCGGTCTTTGCTAAGAAAAGACCATCTTTCTAAAAGATACATCTTTCTTGTTAGATAGATCAAAATTACTTGCCTCTTTATTTGTTGCTTTCAGCCATAAAGAATTCCTAAGTAAGATTAAAGAGAAGTTATGACTGCTTTATCTAAAAGTGATAGTGCTTCTAGCACTTCTGAAAATAATAATGAAGATGATTGTTATGGAATCATAAACCTTCAAAAGATAAAATCCTACATTCAATTATGGTAAAGATAAGAAGTTAAAGACAACATCCGCCCCCGGTGCTGACTTCAATTATCTTCCATTTATAATTGCTTTTGAATTATTGATTGTCTTTATTAAAACTTTTTTGTTTTATTTCAATTATTCAGGCCATGTGGGTCATTACCTTTTATAAAGTTTATGCTTAATTTTTTTAGTTTCAAGTCCGTGTGAGTTCTTGCCTATAAAAGAATCATTTGTGTGTTGTGAAAGACATTCGAGTTTTCAGTCTTAAAACTTGAAATTCTTGATTTGTTATTCTTTGTAAGTATTTTTCATAAATAAAAAAAATATCTTTTAATATTTTCAATATATCTTCCGCATATTACTTTACTCTTATAACTATTTTTACAATAATATTATTTTTATCTTTAATGAAATTTCCACCATTATATTTACCACTAATATTGCATGCATGTGTCACATCCATTGACTATAAACTAAAGCATGTGTCATAGACAATAGTGTCTTAGGTCAAAAAGTAAGTGCATGTGGTATAGGGCACTGGCGCATCGTCCCGAGGAAAAAAATTATTTAAAAACGGGGTGTGTTTGATATTTTAAAAAAAAATATTTATTTAGAGATTTTTATGGAAAAACATGACTATTTAAAAAAAAAATCCCATTAAGCCTATAAATAAGGCTGAGCCCATCTTGTAATATTCAAATGATTAATAGAATTTATCATTTTTATTTTTGCCTTCTTTTTTCTGTTTTTTTAGTGGCAATATCTATCCGTTGCCACTAGTACACGGTTATGACTAAGTTATCATCATTATTAGTGCTGATTTAATTTACACAGTTTTTATCCTTTTCTATTTCTTATTTGGTCGATTGATGTCTATATATTAGTGAAGTACTCAATCTTTTGTTGATAATCTGATTAATAAGAAGATTTCTTCGGATCCTTTCTTTTCTAAATTTCCAAATTGCAATTTTAGTTCTCATGGTAAGTGTTTTACATTTGCAGTGATTAACAAGCATATTGTAGCATAAGGACTCAACAACCTATGTAGGAGATTTCTTCCAACCTATGAATTAGGATGCAAAAAGTTGAAGACTCATACATCTTTCATTTTCCTATGCCTCTAAATATTTAGTGACATGATTCACAAACTCTCATACCACATATTGCAATACTTATACATAACTTAGAAAAAAAAACAAGTAGCTCAGACATTGTTCCAACCCTCTGATTCATCTCTTTTGGGATTCGTTTTGCATCCATGGAGCACAAAGTTACATGCTCTAACAGCCTCTTCTACTGTCAGATAGATCCAATTTCCCCCCATATCCTTCTGAAAGTCAGATTTGTTTAGTTTCTTCATCACCTCGCTTCCAGGGTTCACCAAAACAAGCTGCAACCATAGAAATGTTAAATGCTACAACAAAATTTTGGTTCATGATTAGAAAATGACATGAGAGAAATAATTACTTGCTGCTCTCTTCTTTCAGAAATTTTTTTAATCTCTTCAAGCATACTTATTCCACTTGTATCAATATTCCCAACAGCTGCCAATAAAATTGCATTGCAAGTTAAAATACTTTCATATATCAGTAAATCGTTACCGAAAATTCATAATTTCAGTAACCTTGCTCTGATACGTTTTGTAAATATGATCTTAGATTACTCACCACTCATATCCAATATAATATACTTCAAACTTGTCTCTTCTTTAGCTTTAATTCTGTCTTCCTCTTCATCAATCCATCTCGAGATTCTATAAACAAGTAACAGTTTTCTTGCGTGTCAAGTTACACACTCTAAACCAAAAAATTTACATACTAATGAGAAAAAAATCCAAATTACCAGGTAGCTTACCTTTCTCTTAAATAGCTTGCATTGGCAAAGTAAATCGGTGCATCAATCTTTAGAATTAGAATTCCGGAAACACGATTTGCATTTGAATAATGCTCGATGTTTCTGTATATTGCAGAATTTGGAATGTTTCCTAAAACAGATGTTCTTGGCCGTGCGATAAATAGCAGTAACCGAAGTAGCGATACCACAATCTATATAAATTAAAAAACACATTAGTTTCATAAACATGTATAATAGACTCATAAGTGTGAGAATAAAGGGGTCACTGATGCTTACTGCTATGACTAAGCCAATTTCAACACTGCCAAAGACAACACCGAAATATGCGCTAACGCAAACAACAAAGTCGAATTTGTCAATCTTCCACAGATGGATGGCTGCTTGATAATCTATGAGTCCAAGCATTGCAGATACAATAATGGCTGCTAGTACCACAAGAGGAGTGTAGTAGAACAAAGGAGTTAAAAATAACAGTGTCAACATGACAGCAATTGCCATCACAATGTTTGATGCTGCTGTTTTGCATCCAGCGTTATAGTTCACGGCCGAACGCGAAAATGGTCCTGAAATAGTCATCATTTGTAGTACCACATTTGTCATTAATTGATGAAGCAAAGTTTCATAGATATTTTTGTTTAGATTTGGTGATAATGTTTAGTTTACCTGTTGTGAGGTAGCAAGAGGTGAAAGAACCAACTATGTTCATGGTTCCAATAGCTATCATCTCTTTGTTGCCATCTATATGGTAATTTTTAAACATTGCAAAGCTTCTTCCCACAGCTATTCCTTCCTGAACAATTTTATATTATCAATAAGCACGTTAGTTGATAGTTGTGCAAAGACATCAGACGTAGAGATACGTGTTTCAACCCGCTGGTCTGCATTTAAGTAATTTGTCTTTTTAAGACAACAATTATCAAATGAAGACCATCATATAGAATCTTTGACAAAAAATGCAAATTCACCAATAGTAAAGTTATTTTCTCAATACCTTGTCTAGTTTATTTTTATTATTCTTTAGTTAAAGGATGTGACATTTCAGAGTTGGGTTGTGTCTTTATTATTAGGCAATAAAGTAAGTAAAAATTGAGTTTCTTACCGCTAGAGCAATAATGCCAACAATAAGTCCTGTCTTAATAGATGTGGTCATATAAGGAGACACGAATACCAATTCTGTGATTGAGATTGGGTTTAGTCCTTTCTTCAATTCTCCAATCTGAAAAACGTGTTCAATTAAAATGTTTAAAGGAGGACCAGTTAAATCAGCTCAATTGATAGCTATTCAAGAATATTAAATTATAAAAGTGCGAGTTCAAATTTATTATATATAATTATTTATTCACTTTTAACTTATAAAATTGAGTCATTAGACTACTTGAAAAAAAAACTCAAATGAAAGATTTTTCAATTCCATATATAATTTCATAAAATAAATAAAAAAATGTGAACCGTATATATGTACTCATGTTTTGAAAAATGAATGATTCTCTGCATGTCCTACCATATAAAGAGTACTCATTGAATATGGATGGTATCGTTTTCGACCCAATAGCACTCAACAGTGTTTGGCTCTTTGCTGTGAGTGGGTTATGAGGAAATATATACAAATTAATTATATTTATTTGATAAAGTCATATTTAAATTCAGTTGATACTCAAAATAAACTCATAATATGCAATATGATTGCAGAAATAGTAACTCACCACTTGAACGCCGTGGTTCTCAGCATGAGTGAAATAAACTAGTAAGCTTCCAAGAATAACGGACGCTAACGGCGTCATTGCTGATACCCAAAAGAATTTGGGTTGTTTTTTACTCTGCATTAATCAATTAATCTCACAAATAAATAACAATTAATGAATTAATATTATTTACATATTAACACTTATTATAATTCATGAAAAAATATGTATTAAGATTTTTTTATGAATATGTTAATTAGGGCTATATCTGACTTACAAAGTATCTTGTGATAAGGAGAAAGAAGATGAAGACACATCCTAAAACAGCACTTTCCCATCTCCATTGATGAACTTGTGTAAAAACCGAACGCATAACTGATATAAGATCAGCACTATGGGTGAAATGTTCAAGACCTAGCATTGGTTTGAGTTGCTGCAGACAAACCACCGTGGCTGCGCCACTCATGAACCCTACTATCGCCGCATGCGACAGAAAATCCACAATCAACCCTAACCTGCACCACCACCTCATGTATTAGCATTAACAAAAAAATTGTTAAACAAAATAATTTAATTCATTAGCATCCATGATAAAATAATATCAACTCAGTTGATAGTTGTGCAGCAAACATCACTGAATCTTATTGCATAGTGCAAAGTGGCAAATATCTTTGTACAAGACAAAACACAGAATGGCACAAGATATTGTCATGCTTAGAATAGTATATATATATTCTTATCTTTTTCATATTCCTATTATTTTATTTTTTTTCCGTATCCAGTATCATATATACTAACGTATCATTTCAATAGTTGTAGTTTTACTTTATGACAACATAGTACACTTTTCAACTTATTACTATTTTTTAATCACCTTTAGAGGAGTAATTAGTTGTTAATGATTAAATTTTTTACCTGAAGAGACCCAACGAAGCTTGCAAAACACCGGCAAAGAATGTAGCTGTGAAAGCAAGGTGGAGATAAAGACTTGGATTTTGGTTTGGATTAACTTCAGTGGCCAACATGGAACCCATCAGAAGAGATCCAACTGCCACTGTTCCAACTGCCAAATCTCTTGAACTTCCCATCATAGCATAAATCAATGGTGGTATAAAGCTCGAATCTGCCCAAAAATTAACGGAAAAAATTTGTAAAAATTAATTCGGAATTTTCCTAATAAATTTAACACTGCTACGTGATCAGAACCCTAGACTTCTGGTTAAGCTAATGGTATAAGCATATCCGTGTTTAATTTTGTAAATTCTAATCATGCAACTTTCACTCCGGCTCAAGTAGTTTATACACGCTGATTTGATGATAGATTTAGTTTTTAAAACATATATTATTAATTTTAGTAAATTAATTAATTTATTAAAACAGAATAAATTATGTATTGATTAGTATAAAGTAAGAAATTAGTACATATGGTACTCACATAATCCAAGAATTGGAGGGAGATTGGCAAGTTTGGCATAGCTAATGCCTTGAGGAATAGCCAAACTAGCAATGGTGATTCCAGCTATGATATCAGATTTCAAGAACTGAAATGTGTAGTTTGGTGCCCATTCAAATATTGGAAACAAATATTGAAAACCAAGCACCAACTTTCTTGAAGCTGGTTGATTCTTAAACTTTCTCAATGGATCATCCGGAAAAAAAGTCTCTTTCATTGTATATTTCATAGACTTCAAGAATGGCTGTGGAGGTGGAATTTCCACACGATGTTGAACATGGTTCTCATTAACGTTGTTCATGTTCATACCTGAACGAGGATAATCATAGTCCACGTTACCCATAATGTTCTCAAACAGTTATATATATGACAATTTAAATGGTGTTTTTGTGAGCAATGTTATAGGGATAGAAGAATAGAGAGAAGCTAATGAAAAAGGATGAAGGTTGTGTTGAGAGTTGAGACACTATGGTTGTTCTTCATAACATGGCTTTATATAATGCTTTTTATTACCATTTTATATAAATAATAATATTTAAAATTTAAAAGAAAAAATTTATGTTGGTAAAAAGAAAGAGAAGAGAGAATAATTTATTTGAGTTGAAATTTTGAGTGCTGTGTGAGGGTCCCAAAGAAGTTATGGAATAAGGTTATATAGTGGGGAGGATACCCAAACATCCCACATTTGTATTCTTTGAATAGTACTATGAATTTTGGATCTGCCACCTCGTGCTAAATTAATTTGATTTTGTTGTTTGTAATATGAATGGATTAGATAAAGTTTTATGAATTGTGTACCGAACAACATGTGGAAGCAAAATCAATGAAGCTCACGTATCTTGATTTGAGCTTGTTTGGAATACTATGGTTTCATTTTACTCGAGTCCTTGCAATCATTGAACAATTTACTCGTCAATTATGAGATGTGGGGTGGGAAGTTTATGAGAAATGTGTTTCAAGATAGGGTTAGGTGGATTTGTCAATTTTATGTCCAAGACTCTTCTTTGAAAAGTAAATAAATCAAAGAAGTTTATGTGAATTCAAAGGATTCATATAGTATTTGTATATGTCACATACATATACATCATGTTAAATGTTTCATTAAGTTAGTTGAGTAGATAATTAGGAAATGATATTTGATTGCAAAACAATTGAATTCAAATTCGTGACATTGTATATAATTACTTTAAAAAAAATCTGAACATTAAGCTGTTAGAAGAAAAAAAAACCTCTTAATACTTTTTTAAACAATGAGTATTTTACTGATTTTTTTAAAAAATAATCTATTTTTTCAACAAAAATACAAAAATAATTATATTTTCAAAAAAATTACCAAAGTGACGTAGTTTTAGAACTGAGAATCATGGATACGCTAAATGAAATGGCGCATTCATTTGAGGTTGTTCTCATGCGCCATATGGTATGACTTATGCATGTTTCCCAAGCCATATCACATGACGCATCCCTTTCAAATTCATGCATATGCGCCATATGATATGACGCCTCCTTTGTATATATATTTTTATTTTTAATTAATTACTTTTACTTTCCCTCTATATATACCACCACTTGTGTTTTTATTTCTCTGCACCAACTTCTCATTTTTCTCTGCACTACATTCTCTTCATATCTTCTTGCATTTTTCAGTTAAAATGGCTTCCTTTTCTTCCTCTTCATCATCCTCATATATCTATCAGATTCCATATATCACCAAGAAAAATGCCAATTTAATTTTCTTCCCAGTTAAACCTCCAATGAAGATTCACCTCTGGAATACATTGACGTTAGAACATCTCAAGAGGAGTCTGATCCGCTGGTTAGATAGAGACATTCCAGAGGGTGGAACGATCAGAAGAATTCAAAGGCTTGTTACCACGTTCAACCAAAATGAAGAAGTTCGTTTCTGGGAGAATGTTACTAATGACCAAGTGTTGCACCCCAAAATTTGCCCTCACAATACAAGACTTTGTGTTCCAAGAAGGTTCACAAGGTTCACAAAATTCACAATTGGTCAGAAGAGTTGACAATTCCCTCAGACAATGCACCTCCTAAGCAGTGCATCCAAAACTAGGGTTTTGACTTTAATCAGGCTAAATGGACTTCCAAGACTTCAAGTGAGCTTCATAACATCTTATATGTGTATAAGAACCCCCATGTCAAGTTTCAAGACTTTTCTCAAAAGTTTGCTCAGTCAGATGATCAGATAAGTCAAAAGCAGTCAATGCAGTTAAAAGGTCAAACTGAGGTCAACTGTGGTCAAACTGAGGTCAACTGTGGTCAAACCAAAGTCAAACTTCATGATTTTTTTTTGCCAACATCAAAGAGAGGTTGGGTGAGAAATATTATCATAATAACTGTAATACCCCAAATTTTGCCCTAAGATTTGTCGTCGCATTTCATTGCATTTAATCAATTACTAACAAATTTGTGTAGTCGTTTGACTTTTTGCAGGTAAATATCATATGGCATGCATTTTTTTTCTAAAAAGTAAAAATGGCACAATTGGCAGGAGGACATGTGTAAGGAGTTATGAGTGTGAGAGGTTGAGAGTTCGAATCTCACCTTTGTCATTTTTTTTGTTTTTTATTATTTTTACTCTAAATTTTTCTATCTTTCATTAAAAAAAATAACAAAAATAGTTTTTTATTATTATTTAATTATTATTTTCGTATTTTAATTAAATCATTTTTTAAAATATTATTTTTTTCACTTTTTTCTAAATTATTCATAAAAATATCCAAAAAATCATAAAATAAAAAATATTGAAAAAAATTTTGTTCTTTTTATAATATTTTTTATTTTAGGAATCAATAGGATTATTAGTTTTTATTTTAAGTTTATTTTAATTATTTTAAATTATTTAAATTTTATTTTTTTCTTAACTAATTATTTAGTTTGGGCTTTAAAATGGGCTTTAGGGACATTATTGACAATTTGGTGTTAAACCCTAATTTGTTCCCTATATATACATGTGTTGCCTTGTTGGAAAAGGGGAGAGAAGGAAAAAAAACCTAAGAGGAGTGAGTGCCGTTTGCCGTTATTTAGTTTTCTTCTTCATCCATTACTATTGTTTCTTTTTCTTCATCGTTTACCGTTATTTCTTTTCCTTCATCTATTACTGTTGTTTCTTTTTCTTCATCTTTTACCGTTATTTCTTTTTCTTCATCTATTACCGTTATTTCTTTTTCTTTATCTATTACTGTTACGTTTATATATATATAATTTTTAAATTGTTAGAGTTTATATATATAAGATTTTTGATCGAATTATGTCGATACGATGTTTGCACATTTGTGTGCATGACGCGTGACATTTGTGTTAGTTCGATCTGGTTGCGATGATCGCATTTTTGTGTGAGCAATAATACTATTTTTTGCTTAATTTCTTTTTCTTTGCGATAAATTTTGTTTCGTCCGATTTAGATCTGGTTGCGATGAGCGCATTTCTGCGTTAGCAACATTGTTGGGTTATTTGGCACATTTAAAATTCATTATTGCTTTATTATTATTATTATTATTATTATTATTATTATTATTATTATTATTATTATCATTATTTATTATTATTATCATTATTATCATTATTATTACCATTATTATTATTATTGTTATCATTAATTTATTAAAATTTGTTATAATATAAAAATCTGTTTTTTAAAATAAATAACATTAACATCTTTTCCAAATTAATATGAAAACCTATTATTTTTAAGAAAAACTTTTTTTTTTTAGATAAATTTAAAATAATAACTAAAATCTTTTTTTTAAAATAATAACTAGAACCGTTATTTATTTTATTTTATTATTGTTCAATTCAAATTTCATTATCATATTGTATCTGCTCCTCTCATGTAACCTCGCGAACTTAACAACCGCTCTTTAAATTCTGCCTTTAAATTTCTGCTTGCATGGTTTAAATTATGACATTATCTCTCTGTTTGCATGATTCAATTATCTCACGCGTTTACTATTATTTCTGTCACATTGCACACATCCGAAGGTTAGGTCTAACTGTTTGGCCGCCGCGCCAATAGTCCGTAAAACTTCACACATTCAATTTCAAATCCTCAAAACTACAAACTACAAACCCTAATTTTCACAAATGCCTCGCCGCAGGCAAAATTACAATTTTACCCTTAGCATTAGGTCAAAGAGCCGCCGCGCTCATTTTAGGGTTTCCCGCCGTGGAATCCCTAATTTAACCCTAATTACAACTTAACATTTCAACGTAGAGATTTGGAGTTTCTACACTCCACGTAAGCGTGTCCTTAAGATGCGTTTATTCCCCTTGAGACCTTGACCACAGTCAAGAAGTTTCTAACCTCCCTATTGAGGGGAACTACGATTACTCTGATTCCACTCCCGTAAGGATACGTAGGCACAAGATGCGATGTCTTGCCGAGTAAACTTAGAATTAACCCCCTTTATTATTTATTATTGCTTATTTATATTTTATTTATCTTTGCTATTTAATTATTTTGCTTATTATTTTGTAATTGTTTCTTGGATGTAAAGTTGTTTAATTATTTAATTATTATTATGGTTAGTAATTAGGGAGTGTAACAACATGTATGTAATATTAAAATAAATTTAGATCACTTTTAAATAAAGATAATTAAAATAAACACGTCACACACGTAAGTCGATTTTAATCGCCGTCTCACTTCCTAAGGATATCTCTCAAGTTGCCTACGAATAATGGTTAAGTGGGGTGTATAAAGCAAGTCCCTCAAATAAAAAAATCATCAAAGTCCCTTATGGTTGCCTTTACGAATCAAGTCCCTTTCAAAAAATGATGATGGTCCCTTATATGTGCTTATTACATCCCACAATGGCCTTCAAAGTCAAATTGTCCCTCACATACCCCTTAACATCCAAAGTAAGGACTACCTACTCCATTATAGTAGGGATAGTCTTACTAAAGGAAAGAATGAAGAATAAGAAAGACCTTTAAACATTAGGGTAGGCTACTCCTAGATACTTGCTCACTTCAAAACTGTTTCACACTTAAACAAATTTTCAACAAGTTTTCAAACAAGTTCTTAACACATCCTTACATGGATTATTTATTAACTATTCTGAAAATTTTCTATTCACACACTACAATTTCAAAACAATTCAAAAGTGAGCTTAAGTACCTAAGAGCCCATGGATAACCATGGATGAAAAGGATGCTAATACCTTCCCTTTTCATAACCTACCCCCCGGACCCAAAATATTCTCTAAGGTCTTTCCTGTTCTTTTATAACCTTTCCTTATGGATAAAATAAAAGTCGGTGGCGACTCTTGCTATCCGCAACATTGTTTAAAGTCAGTTCACCGGGTTACAGAACTGGCGACTCTG